GAAGGGAAGAAAAGGGGGAAGGGGGAAGGGAAAGAAAGGAGAAAGGGAAGAAAGGGAAGGAAAAGAAAGGAAACAGGGAAGGGAAGAAAAGGCTTCCAGACTGTGTGACGTCCGTTATAATTCTATTTATATTGTAACTTTATTTTGCCTCTCTAAAGTTACCTCAAGTTCCTTCTTTCTGCAAACTTTGCCTTTCTAATCTTGAAATCCATCAACAACACCGATTATTTGTCCTTCCTTCAAGGGTCTTTTCTTTTTTTTAAAAAAAAAAAGCGATCGCTGTGTGACTCTGTTCTGTAAAGGAATTTTGGATTGTGTGGAGTTCAAAATCTTAATTAATCTTCATCATTCATCTTGCTTTTTTTCTTTTCTTTTCTTTTCTTTTTTTCCCCCTTTCCAAGGAAACTCTTATCTCAGATCTATTTTGCTGTGGTGGAGGCCGTCCTGGCTGGCATCGACACCTTCTCAAAAACGTCGCAAGTTACAAAGGTAGGCGCTTCCCTTCCCACAACGCGGCCCTTGCGGTTAGCGTGCAGTGCAAGGGGTCCTCAACTTACAGCCATTCGCTGTAGCGACCCTTTGAAGTTACAACGGCCCTGCAAAAAAAAGGTGACTTAAGTTAGGACTGTTTTCCACACACAACCACCCCCACCATTTTGCCATCCCCATGGTCACGGGATTCAAAATTCAAGTGCTCGGCAATTGGCTCGTAGTTATGACCGTTGCACTCTCCCCTTTTGTTGACCTTCTGGCAAAGCATATAGATTCACTTAACAACTGCAGGATGCACTTAGTGACAGCTCTAATTCACTTGAACAGTCGTGGCAAAAAAAAAAAAAAGATGGGAAAATCAGGCCTGATTCGCTTAACGACCGTTTCTAGCTTCATGAAAGAAATCCTGGTCCGAAATGTTCTAAACCGAGGACTAATTGAATTACACAACCTCATTCATTCCCCCCCCCCCCCCCCAGTCTGCTTGGGTATAAGAAATTATAATTACTTCTAGAGCTAACTTGATTATTCCTCATTCGGCCTTACATT